AGGCAAAAAAAAAAAAAAAAAAAAAAAAAAAAAAAGAACATGGATTCAGTTCCTAGCACTCACAGGCTAGTTCATAAATGTCTATAATCCAATTCGAAGGGATCTGATGTCCTTTTCAGGCCTTTGCAGACACTAGGCATGCACACAGTACACATACATACATGCAAACAAAACACCCATATACATAAAATAAAAATACATAAATCCTAAAAAAAAAAAAAAAAAGTCATACACCCCCCCATACCCTAAAAACCACATTTTAAGATTCTAAAACCATCTTACTTTCTTTGGGGGTGGGTTGAAATCCTAAATTAGATTCATTTTCTGACAGGGTCTTGTATACAGCTCAGGATGGACCCAAACTCTCCACCTTCCTGTTCTGGCCTCAGGGTTTTTGGGTTTTGTTTTTAACAGTGTGAGCACGCAAACCAGGGCCTCAGAGCCCTGTTCATGCAAGGCAAGGGCTCTGTCACCACTGACCTTCGTCTCCAGGCCCCTGAAAACAGACTTTTTGAGTTTGGCATTTGTAATCTCAAAATTCAGAGGAGGTTGAGGCAAGAGAATGAGAGTTCAAGGCCAGGTTGTAGTACACGTAAAGACACATTGCTGTCTGTTTTCAGTGCTGTCAGCTGGACCCCAGGGTACTACAGACACACAGACACAGACACACACACACAGACACACAGACACACACACAAACACACACACACACAGACACAGACACACACACACACACATAGATACAGACACAGACACTGACACACACACACTGTACCCTTGATCCTCACCTTTCCTTTGAATAGGGCTACCCCTCCCCACCCAGCACTGGGAACTGAACTCAACCTCTCCCATGATGCTAGGTAAGCTACATCCTCAGTCTTTTGAAAAATGTTTTTTGTGTCGAGATAGGGTCTAAGTCGCCACGCTGACCTTGAATTCACTCTGCAGCTCAGGCAGGCCTTGAACTTACGATCCTCCTGCCTCAGCCTCCTAAGGATTAGAGCCCTGGGCCACCAGGCCTGGCAGCAGTCTCTTAACTTCAGACACAGTTTATGTAAAAATCAAAGACTTTCATTTCTAATAGACACTCAATGGAACACAATGAAAACACTAAGATGACAGCTAATTTGCTCTTTGAAAGCAGAGAGACACTTTCATCTAGATTTCTGATTTTTAGAAAAACTCTGAGCAATGTAGGAAAACAGTCATGATTTCAAATTATCTCTGTTACTAATACTTTCAACTACTCGTAGGAGGTAATAACTAAGTGACGGTCATATCGCATGAAAGTAACGATGGACCTACACCCATGATGATGAGGCAAGCAAGCTGGCCAGGCAGCCTCAAGTCTGCAGGCTGAGTAACAGCCCATGAGCAGAGGTCTCTTGGCACTAAACTGACCATCTCTGAGCAAGAGATGAAAATTAGATGTCCCTAAAAATGAAAATCTCACCTGAAGACAGCAGTCGCAAACTCA